GCCCTCTATCCGGCCGCGTGGATCACCGTCGCCGCCTGCGTGCGGTATGCCGATTTCCTCGGTCTGCCTGGGTTTCACGAGGGGACTATTATCCTGGCTTCGCCTGTATGTATATCAGCTTCTCGAAAGCTTTGGGGTACTTGTACACAGCGATTTACTTTGAGAGCAGACAACGTGGACAGAGTTGGAGGAGCGATCACGGACGTGGTGGGGCCGTTATCAGCCTCGACCGCATCATCTGCCTCGGCAACAAGAAACGCTACTCTCCCCTGAGCCGCAAGATAATGAGACATATCCCGTAGACGACTCAGCATGGGTATGACCCCTTATTTTCTTTCTCCTGGCCAGGGAACGCAGTAAGACTAACACAGTCTCCCTTCAGGACGAAGGCCGCGTCGGCCGCGTAGCCCACCACAACATCACCTCCCCACCCCCGTCTCCACCCTCCCCCTTCTCCTCCTCTGCCGCTCCGCCCTCATCGCCGGCAAAATCATAACCCACGTCCGCAAAGTGACCTCGGACCGCAAACAGAACCCGCATGCCTCGGCGCCGACGCCATCGCCGAGGCAAACGCCTTATCGGAGACGCTGTTCTCGACACTGGAGTACTTGCAGCAGCAGCAGCCCCCAGCGACAGGAGGAACGGCGACGCAGAGGCCAAAGCCGCTGTCCCTACCTTGCTGCCGTCGAGGTGCGTCCTCCTCTCGGCAGCCGTGCTCCTCCACGACTTTTACTGCTGCCCTGCCTGTCCCGACGGCCGCCTCAAGAGCCCCGAGGAGACGGCGCAGCAGGCGCGTTCCGTTGACGTCTTATTGAAGATTAGCAAGGACGTTGCTGTGTTGTCGGAAGAGTTGCTGCTTCTCGTCTCGCGAAGGGAAAGGGGTGGTGATGACGATGACATGGGCAATGAGCAAAACAACGGTGGCCACCACCAAAACCACAATCACAATGAGGGCCAAAGTGGTGGCAGCAGCGACATTGGAAGTGTGAGCCCGCTGATTCTTGACGCGCTTCTACGGCGCCGCGAATACCCTCGCCTGGCTGCTGAGGGAGGAAGGGACGCCCGAGTGCGAGGACGAGATGAACGTCATCAAGCGGTGCCTCGAGCGGCTGGGCTCGCGGTGGAGGTTGGCGGGGGAGTATGGGCGGATGCTGGAGCAGCAGGACTTTGCCATGATGATGCAGGAGAAGGGGCACTCGACGCTGAGGATCATATGATGCTGGTTCTCGGTAGGTGAGTATCGGAAGGAAATTAGACAAGCAGCTTAGGGACAAAGGAGTTTAGATCTCCAGAGGAGAAGCCTCATCTTGTTGAGTCTTCTACATCATCGTGAGAAGACGGAAAAGGGTTGCGGATGATTCTGAATACTGATGCTCACTTTGTATGACTCCCTCACGAATACTACTTTTTTTTTCCCTGGCCCAAGACGCGTTGCTATTCGAATATTCAAAACACTCAAGGGCGCAAGTCCACAATTACAGGTATTGTGTCTAGAGTTTTACAAGTGCCCTACTTACATGGCTCCAATTTCGCAGCGTTGCTTTCCGGATATCGGGTGGGATGATGCTATGTGATCCATGTGACATGGCTTCTCATTGGCAAATCCTCCAGCAGATTTATCCAAAGTCTCAAAAGCCTAGTCAGGATTCTCCGCTTCAACTCCTCCACTTTTCAACGCACCGTCGGCCGTTGCATTCGCCAACTTGACAGGGTGTCGGTTTTCTCCATGCCTCATTCCTGTATTCAGGCGCCATTTTTTGCGTAAAATGGTCTTGGGCATGGACGAGCTGCCGCATCTGAAGCTACCCTCCACCAGACATTTTACCCGACTATAATTACGAGAGTGCTTGGTCAGCGCTCCTCAAAGTTTTCCAGCGAAGAATCTCCAAGTTCTAGTTTGGTGTCATAAGGTGACGTGAGGTAATTTGCACTTGACTTCCGATCCGAGTCTATGGAAAACAAAGCAGAGTGGGACTGGAAGAGGCTGATGACGTCCTACGACGAGTTTTGGACAAGAGAAAACTGTTGGAAATGTACAGAGTCAGGATGAATGTGTATGAACTCACTGTTATGATCAAGAAGAACAGTACCTGTGTGATCAATTATCCAGCATATGGAGAGGAAAAGCAGGGGGATCGTCCCCGATGGTCCAGAACAATGGGTTTGTACACACACTGGAAAGGCTGTGGGCTGAAGCCCTTTTACTGTTGGTTTACACGTCACTAGGGCAGCCATGGAATTAGTATGAAGGTTAGCCAATTGATTGTATTATAGCTGCGAAAGGGGGCGGGAGTAGGAGGAGGATTTATGGGACAAAGCCCACGATAGGTGACAGTGTCGTTTTGTACAACCCATGCCGCCCTTCCAAGATCCATCTTTCTCTGCCGAATGCTCAGAGATCTAATAATCACAAGATTCATACCCTGGCCTTCATAACGATCCGACAAGAAATACGCCTTCTGCTTTCAAAAGATGTGAAGGGAGAAAAAAGTTCAAGATCAATCCGAATCCAAGCTTTATCTGTGAACAGTCAGAGAGGAAAGAGGGATTTCTCCAAATGAGAATTCCCCATTGAAACTTGGAGCCCTCAAATGAACGCCTCAACACAGTCTTCATCTTCTTTACTCCCTGCCCCCATACCCTAACGCCTCAGTGTCAAATGACCATTCCTGTTCGACAGCTAACTCCCATCTCTCTTCCTCACTTGAGTCTATGCTTAACTCCTGCTTCTCTACTTTCTATAACTGTATACTTCCCACAGTGATTGCTGTGTTGTGGGTGCAAAATTACGAGGGCAGAGAAAGAAAAGCAGACGGCAAAACTCGACCAAGCTCCTGCGAGAAAGTTCCAGCGTTTACGGCCAACCACACACGCGCAGAGGTCTGGTGATTTCTTCCCCGGGACATTGCGCCCATAGAACAATCAAGACAAAAAAATGAACAGCAGAAAGTTACATCTGCACAAAGAAAAAAAGTCCTGACAAACTCGAGAGCTAAACTCAAAAACCAAACCAACATTCCCGTTTTCCCAAAAGTCGTCTGCCGCTTAGGTAATACCCCCTTGCTTAGAGCAAAGCCCGCACGGACGCATGTAGCCAGGTACTTTTCGGCTTTTAGCGCGGTACTTTGGGGTACAAGGCGAAAATACTGGGTCCAGGCGCAATGTATCGAGTACAAAGGCTACCAAAATTGCCAAAAAGGGTGGTGATTGAGGTCGGAATAAGCTCATCGTCTCCACTTGACATTCTTTTCGTCCCGTCTGCACGGTCGTGGACCCAGCGCCCCCCGGAATACTCTACTCCAACGTCCTTTCGCCAAGAGAGACAAACGATTGGACCCAAGGAAATCAAGTCGTTTATTCCCATCGACTGCAAGGGAGCGTCAGTACATGAGTACGTACTTTCTTATTTCATGATTCATCCGTAGAGAACCCGTCTTGGTTCCGTCCGATGCACCCAACTAAGAAGCTTTTCCGTTTCCAGAAAATTGGAGGTGTATGTACTGACGTTATCTCGCATTTGATGGGATGTAATCTCGAAGTTGCATTGCCATGTTGAAATCCCGGAAACCTGGGAACTTTGTGATTAAGACAGGCGGTAAATAGGAATGAGTTAGGTAGCTGTTAGGTTCAGTTTCGGGCAACGCTACACTCGACGCATTCAACCCAACTTGGGGCTTGAAGTTGAGCTGGTTGAGAGCGAAATTCCAAGTTTCCTTTTTTTATTCCTCTGACCTGTTGTTGATTGATCCAGTTGCATCCATCGCAGCGCTTATTCGGGTCTTGTCATCCTTTCATAATATAGGCATCGAGATTGATAACAGATATTAATGTTTTTACCAACTTCCCTCTCGCCTAATTTTTCTTGGCATCTGCTGTTAGTGAATGAGTGAGCCTACCACCAAATTACTAACAGCCGAAAACTCTTCACCTCCCCTTGCCGGAGCCCGCATCCGCGATGGCCTCACAGCCGCCGTCGGGCACCGGACTGATGTCGGCCGACCAAGCCGACCCCGAACCAGGCTCCGGGACACCTCCGGAGCCGAACCCCACCTCAAGAGCTAAGCGACGCCGCGACGCCGAGGCACAGCCGACCCGGCCCAGCCTAACGGGAAGCCAGCTTGATGCCACCACCGACGCCCCTACCTCGGCCGAGGGGCCCGCAGCCTCTACCGCATCTGCTCCGAGCGGATCTGCCACAGGGTCCGTCTTGACAGCCCTTGCAGAAGAAGCTAGACAGTACGAGGCACGGAAAGACGTCTTTCTGACCATTGCACGGTCCGTCGACAGCGTTGTCGCCAGCTTTGACGGTTCTAGAAAGCAGATCGCGAAAGAAGCCACTGCCTATGTCATTCAAACCCTCAAGAGACTGATCAATCACGAGACAAGCCCAATAGCGGCCCGGAGTTGGGCGGCTGTCGTCGCACCGATGGCGGGCAACACCACTGCGGCGACCCGGAGCGGCCAGAGCTGCCAGAGCTCTGCCCGCCCGAAGGCCACACTCCCCGCCGAGGATCAGCCGCAGGCGCAGCCGAAGGAGGACCTCCGCATCTTTGCCCGCGTCCCGGAAGAAAGCTTAGCGGCCGCTCGGAAGATCGCACCGTTCGCCGTACGACAGATCGTCTGTAAGGCCGTTGGCCTGGGGCTAGCGGACCTTCCCCACGTCTACCATATCAGCACAGGTTACTCTCTGAAGCCGCGAAACAAGCAAATACAGGAAAGACTACTTACAAGTAAGGCAAAGCTGGCGGAATGCCTCGGCGCCCACCAAGTCGAGACGCCTATCAAGTGGCACACATACGTTGTGCCGCGATGCCCAACAAAACTACACAGCATTGGCGGGGACGTCCTGGACCCAGCCACACTCGTTGAAGATGAGGTCTTCGCACAGACAGGACAGAAGCCTGTCCTTGCTCGACCGTCCCGCCTTGGGCCCAACCCAGTCACGAACGAAATATCTTGGCTCATATCATTCACATCAGAGGTCACGCCCTTCAGGCTCTTCAACCAAAGCGGCAGATCTCTGCCCATCAAAAAACGAAGGACGCTCATCCGACATGACCCCGGCTGCCAGGGCTACCACGCCAACCGGTTCTGCGGACGACGACCGACTTGCAGCAACTGCGGAAGACCTTCCGACTCACACGAAACGGGACCTTGCATGGCCAGGCCCCAGTGTCCCAACTGCTGCGGCCCCTTCCAAGCCGGCCACACAGACTGCCCAGCGAGGCCCTCGGTCGTAAACGGCGTCGTCTCCCTTCCCGGTCGAAAGGAGCGGGCTCGGATCCGGAAGGCCGGCCAGAAAGCATCGGACACTCTGTACAAGGCTACTCGATCCGACAGTAGCCAGGAGGCGGCAGGCGTCCCTACCTCCACCAGCCAGAACCAGCAACCCGGCGCCAAGCGCGCGCGCACGAGAACGCCCTCCGCAAGCTCGATCGTTTGCCTCGGTGACGGAAGCACTGACAGCAGCAGCATGGATGAAGACGAGGCGGACGAAGGCGAAGGCGAAGACTCCCCCGACAACACCTCCATCGACCGTCCCGTGCTACCCATGCCAAGCAGGAGCCAACGGGCAGCACAGAAGCCAAACTACAACGTCGCGAATGCCTACACCCACCTCGAACTCGACTCGGAGACGTAAGCCGAGAGCGGCGACCCCACGGATGCTACGCGTTGCGCAGGGCAACGTCGGAAAGATCTCCCCGGCGCACACGGCTTTCCTGCAGCTCTGCTGGGAGGCTCAGATAGATGTGGTCCTCGTCCAGGAACCCTGGACGGGCTGGAAGGACGGAAACGTGCAACTGAACACGCACCCGGGTTTCGACTCTTTCGTCCCGGTCGACTTCTGGGACAGCGAAGGAACCAGACCAAGAGTATTGACCTACACACGCAAAGGGATAGGGATGACGGTGGAGCAGCAGAGGCCTGTCCACACGAGAGTACTGTCTGTGCGAGACGTACTGTGGGGGGTCGCGGGGGTTGTCTGTACACGTTGACGATAGTCGTCGTTTTGTCGACCACCAGCCACAGTACGTCTCTCGTGTGGACAGGCCTCTGCTGCTCCACCGTCATCCCTATCCCTTTGCGTGTGTAGGTCAATACTCTTGGTCTGGTTCCTTCGCTGTCCCAGAAGTCGACCGGGACGAAAGAGTCGAAACCCGGGTGCGTGTTCAGTTGCACGTTTCCGTCCTTCCAGCCCGTCCAGGGTTCCTGGACG